TCGTCTCGCAGCTGTGAGAAGGTATAGTAAGAGTGAGCCATATCCCCCACGACTAACACACAGGACCTACCGCCTCCTCTTCTGCAGGTTGGTCGTCAGCGTCGCGTGCAGCACGGCGTGGCTGCTCGACTCGCGCGCCACCGCGAGCGCGTCGCGCAGCACCTCCATCACCTCGGCGCCGTCTCCCTCCAGCGTCTCGCAAAAGAGCACGTCGCCGCCTCGCGCCGCCGGCGAGGCCGCCACCCGCTCGGCCACGGCGGTGCGCGCCGCCGCATGGTCGCCGTCGACAGGGTACACAGCGAACTGGCAGGCGACGCGCGTGGGCAGCGCATACGCCTCGGCGACCCAGTCGTCCTCTGCCGCCTCGCCCGCCGCCACCGGCGGCCCCGCCTCGAGCGCTTTCCCAATCCGTGCCGCGATGCTCTCCGGGCTCGATGCCTGCGCGAGGCCGTCGGCGATCCGCTTGGCGCGCGCGCCGCCCGACGCCTGCTCCAGCGCCCCCGCCGCCTGGAGCGGCAGCCGCCTCAGCGCGCTGGCGACACCTCGCATCAGCGTCCGCTTGGACGGCGGCGCCTGCGCTCGGCTCCCTCTGGGCAGCTCGCCGTCGGCGTCCGCGTCCAGCGTCGCGCCGGCGGTGCGCGGCGGCGGCTCGAAGCTCGACCCGGCCATCGGGTCGCCGGCCGAGAACTGGCACACGAGAGAGACGCGCGGCGAGCCGTCCAGCCTCGAGGCGCGGCCGAGCACGACGCGCATCGCCTCGAACAGCGCGGGCTCCGGCCCGAGCAGGCACGAGGAGACCGAGTCGGCGGAGACGGCCAGGCCGAGCGAGCGGAGGTCGCGCGTGCTCTGTTTGACCGCCTGCTGCAGCGACGCCGCGCTCGCGACCGTTGGGTGCAGCGAGAAGCGCACGCCCATCACGCCGGCGCCGGCGAGTCGCGGAGCGGCGCACGCAGCGAGCAGGAGGAGGGCGCGGCACGGCCGGTCCATCGCAGCGCGTCGGGAGGGAGCGGCGAGGGGCGCGGCCTGCGCAACCCGAGCTTGTATGGAGGAAGAGGCGCGGCGCGAGGCGCAAACGAGGCGGGAGCTGGCGAGTACAGACGACGCCACACACTTTTTCACAGCCTGTTATTGAGTTCACACAAAAAGTATAACGCACGCCCTCAGCGGAGCTGGGAAGAGGACCGCCGCAAGCGGCGTGGCGTGGAGCGGTTGTGCATCCCTCCGGGGGCCCCTCTGCGCCGGGGAGGCGTTGTTGGAGGCTAGGACGCAAGCGTCCGTCGCCCTTTTCAAACTCGGGGCCCACTCCGCTACGCTCCGACCCGAATTTGGAGGGCCTAAAAGTCTAAGGTGTTGCTGCGCAAAAGGGGTCGGACACAGGGCGCAGCTCATGCTAAGAGCTAGAAGAGGAGATAGAGAGAACAACCACCCTGTCCCGTTATTGCGTACGTACACCAACACCACAAAACGCTCTCTCTCTCCTGTCCTCACTCAGGGGGGTCACAACTACCAAGTCCCTCGACTAGCTGCCACAGGGCGCAGCTGCAGATAGCTGCCACAGGGCGCAGCTGGAGACGCTCCCCCTCAATCGGCATCCACCCCCACCCGCTCTAGCCCCACTCCTGCTGCCGATGCGCGGCGCGCACTCTCGGGGTCAGGTGGGCGCTCGGTGCTGCACGCCTGGTTGGAGGCGGCTCTTGGCGGCGCCGGGTCGCCCTGCCCCCGTCCTGCGGGGGGCCGGGGCGCCTGCGGGGCGGCGGGCGCAGCGGCGGGCGCAGACATACTGCGCGTGCCCGGGTCCAAAAAAGAATCTGACGGCTGGACCAAGTCGGGAGGCGTTTCAACGCCGTTCTATCTGGCAGCGGTTCAGTCCTTTGAAGTGAACGAGCGCTCTGAGGTCACGGCATGGACGGGTCACTACCTGATGCCTTTTTTCAATGGACAACCGACTGCCGACGTGACGAAGAGATGGGAGCTCGCGTGCAAAACCGGCCACCATCCGTACGATAAGCAGCACTGCGAGCATGGACGGTGCGGGCGAGGAGCATGGGTGGAATCGTTTGAGGACACCAACGCGATTTTTCGGACGGGCCTCGGGCTCACTCAGTCGCAGCGGAGCCGTGTTTCAGTGTTATCCATCAGACCGGCGCGCCCCCCCGCCGAGAGGCCGCTCAGAGGTCAGAGCGGACAGGCTGCGCGGCTCCCGCTTTGGTGTATCTGTGTAACCTGGCCACACTGGTTTCACTGCCAGTGCGCGCCAGTCGCCCATGCTTTGGCCTTTTTATACACCATATTCTCGAATATCTTTGAGAATATAGAGGGTCCCGCGCACTTCCATATTCGAGAATATTCTCGAGAATATAGATGCCCCGGCCGGCTTTTCCCTCAAGAATATACGAGCTTTCCGCAGCGCCTTGACCTTGGTGGACCTCGAGTCCAAAGATATTCTTGAATACTCTTGACGTTGCCGCTGTGCGGCGTCTAAAATGGTCTTGACGAGAGAGCTCGAAACAGCTTTTCCCCCCTCAACAGTAGGTTTCGGGTCGATGCCGACTGAAATCTTTAAGTTTTGGAGGTTCTGAGCGGGTTTGGGAGCGACTTTTGGTCTCCGTCGATATACGCGAGGTCAAAATATTCTCAATATTCGAGAATATTCTCGAGAATATAGAGGGCCCAGAGAGAATATGATGCAAAGAATATAGATAGCCTTTGCAGAGAAAAGCGTGTAAAGGCCAACGCCATGCTGTGCCAGGAATCTGCTGCGCGAATCCTGAATTCTTTTCACGAGCCTACCCGGGTAGGCGAAACACCTGGCGAGTAGAGGCCCCGCCCACCCAGGGTACCCTCTCCGAGGACCCATTGGGTTGCTCTTTCGAGCACTCCCTTTGTTCTCTTCTCATAAAATCGGAGGGTCGGCCCACGGGGGGACTGAAGCGACCCAACGATTTTATGAGTGGCAGCAAAGGGAGTGTCTTTCGAGGACTCGCCCCCCGGGCTCTGCTCCAAGAGACCTCGAGAGAGGGTGAAACACCGCACAAACGCCGCAGCGCATGGCCTCGAGCGGCGGCGGCGCTGCTGAGCCGGCCTCCAGCCCCGCCGACTACGAGCTCTACGAGCTCGTCGTCCACGGCCACGGCTGGCGCTACGAGCAGCGGCTCGCGCCCACAGACTTTGCCGCCGCACTCGCCGCCGACGAGCCCGCCTCGCCCGCCGCCGCCGCCGCGTCGGCGGCGGCCGGTGAGACTGGCAGCGGCGGCTGGCTGACGGTGCGCGAGCTGGCGGTGGGCGAGGAGCTGCCGCCATCGGACACCGGTGGCGCAGACTCTGCGAGGGCGGCCGCGGAGGCTGGCGGCAGCGCTGCCGATGCCGCCGGAGCGACGGAGACGCGGCGGCTGGACGCGGCCAAGGCGCAGGAGCTGGCGCGCTCGGCGGTGGCGCTGGCGGGTCGCGTGTGGGAGTCGCCCGCCGTCTCGCTCGCCTTTGAGCTCGCCCAGCAGGCGCTCTGCTGGCCGGCGGGAGGCGCGCCCGAGCTGCTGCCCCGCTGGTCGGCGCTGGAGCGGAGGCTGCCGTACGCGCAAGAGGCGCTGCTGCGCGAGGCGCTGCGCTGGCGGATCGCCCACTCCCCCTCGGGCGGGCTGCTCGCCGTCTGGCAGTCGTCCGCGCTGCTGCTCCTCTCGCACCGCGACGCGTTTGCCGCCCCCGTCGGCCTGTGGCGCTGCGAGCCGCATGGAGAGCTGCAGCACCGCCGGCTGCTGCAGTGGAGCGGCGACGGCGCGCTGCTCGTCGCCGCCGCGCCCGACGGCACGGTCGCCGTCTTCGACGCCCGCCTCCGCCTCCTCCACACCCTGACCCACGCCTGGTGGGCGGAACGAGCCCCCGCGGACCGAGCCTCGGCCGATGGCGATTCGGTGAGCGGCGCCTCGGGCCCTGACGCGAGCGGCGGCGCGGGGCAAGCAGAGGAGGAGGAGGCGCCGCCGCTCGCCCCGCCGCTCCTCGCGATGGCCTTTCGGAGCTTGCCATCCTCTGGGCTGGGTCGAGGAGGCGAGGAAGCCTCCCCGGAACCGTCTCGGAACCTTCCTGTAGGAGCGGCAGGTCGGCGGGCGGGGTGCTGGGCGGGGCGGAGGGCTCTCACCCGTCCGAGCTGCTCCTCCTCTCCGCCGCCGGCTTCCTCCACCGCGTTCTGCTGCCCGCCGCCGCCGCCGAGCAGCCGCGCCACGCAACACCGCGTCACGCCGCGCCGCCGCTCTCCCTCGCGCCCGCCCACCACGGTTTCGTCACCTCCCTCGCCTACGCCGACCTCGGCGGTAGCGGCGGCGGCGTCGGCATCCTGGCCGTCGGCGGCGGCGGAGCGCCTCCCTCCAAGGCTGCGGCGCTGGTGCTGGCCAAGGCAGAGGCGGCAGCGGGCGGCGGAGATGGGCCTAGAGAGGGGCGGCCGCTGCCCTCGCTCTCGCTCTGGGCAATCACCGACGAGGCGCCGCACGCGCGCCTCCTCTTCGCGACGACGGCGGAACCGCCTCGCGCCTCCCGCGCCGCCGCCGTCGCCGCCGCGCCGCTCGCCGCGTTGCGCCGCGCCCGTGCCGCCGCCTCCGGCTCGGGCGTGCCGCACTGCCTCGCCCTCTCGGACGGCGGCCACAAGCTCGCGGCCCTCTGCCTAATTAGTCAATAGTTAATTAGTTAATAATTGATAATTAATTAGGCGGCCACCAGCTCGCGGCCCTCTGCCTCGACGGCGCAGCCTCGCCGCAGCTCGGCGACTGCCGCGGATGGCACGCCCGCCCCACCGCCACCACGCGGCTGTAGGCGGCCTCTCCGTGTGGCAGCTCACCCCGCTCCACACCGCCGCAGCCATGGGGGCCGCCGCCGCAGCCGCCGCCGTCCGGCGTGTGCCCGAGGCGCCGGCGCTCTTCTCTGGCGGCGGCGCGGGCTCTCCGTCGCAGTGGCTGGCGGTGCACTGGTGGGGCCGCGCCGCCCTCGTGCTCGCCCAGCGCGACGGCGCGGTCTCCGTCTCGTCGATCGGCTCGAGCGGTTTGCGCGAGCTGCTCGGGGAGCGGCCCGAGTCTTTCCCGCCGCTGCCGCTTCTCTCTGCGCCTCGCGGCGACCCCCCTTCCTTCTTCGTCCTCACCCGCGAGGCGCACGCGGTGGCGGCTTGCGAGGGGGAGGGAGAGCCACGGAGGCGCCGCCGAGCCGCTGCAGCTCCACTCCACGGCACCCGTCCGCGACCCGTCCCGGACGTGTCCCGGACGTGTGCCGCAGGCGCGTCGAGGCGTGGGAGCTGCACTCGCTGCGTCGCACCACTCCCGAGGCGCTCTGCTCAAGCGGCAAGGTCGACCTCGACTCAACCACGATCCCTCAGCGATGAGTGACTCTGAACCAGGCGCTCTTCAAGCGCAAGGTCGACCTCGGCGAGTACGGCGACGCGCTCACGTGGGCCCGCGCCTACGGCTTCTGCGCCGACGGGGTA